AATTACCTCAAAAAAGAAAGTTGCATGCCTTTTTCAAAACTAATTTACCAGCTCACTTTGGGCAAGAGGGAATCTTCCTGAAGTGTTTTATCATATAATTTTATAATAACAATAATAATAATATTGAAATTACCCCATTACTGCATAAGGTTTCCTTAAAATTTAGCTCATTTTGCCTAATCAAATTTGCTGGCCAATGGTAATCTTAGGGCTGGAGGATTTTTAATTTTAGATAACCTTTGTTCTTTAAAAAATTGGATACCATGCACTAATGCGTAAAATAGTTTCAGCATTCTAACTTATTAGGTGTGAATTAAATGAAAGAAGGTATGAAACATACTAACTATTAAATCCAAAAGGTGGCCCCTAACTTTTGGCCTATATTTTTTTATCAGTTAAGTATAAATATTTTCTGATGAGACTGTTAAAATCTTTTTTACTAAATTATTCATATATCCAAAGTGGCTTTATTTCATGATCAACTTCCATTCAAAATGAGATTTAATCATTAAGCTTTACTATGCTTTTTTCCAAACTGCCCAATATACTACTTCCAAGTAAATAGGGGTGATGAATACAATAATTCTGTATTAGAGATTTATATGTATTAATAAGGAGGTACAGTGGAGTAATGGATAGTGGCTTGGATTGAGAAATCAGAGAGCTGAGCTCAAATTCCAGTCAGATCCATTACATTCACTTATATACTAATACCCTTGGGAAAGGTATGAATCCTCTTCTCTCCCCAGCTATGGGTAAACAGCAGGACAGACTGGGTTCTATAGCCTTGGATGGCAACTGATCTACTGCAGAAAGAAATGGCAACCTACTATGTGAAAAAAAAACTGCCTCATCAGTCATGTATCTTTTGAAACATAATTGCCTAAGTGTGTATCATGCATGGCACATAACTGACTGATGTATTAATATATAATTATATATATAATTACTGTATATACTCGTGTATCATGCGACCTTTGAAAAACCTAATTTTGAAGTTAATTTGACTACAGTAAATGGATATATAGTTTGGTCAACAGCATAGCCAGGGCCAGATTTACATATGCTAATTTTATATCTTGTGTATGATGTGACCCACTTAAAATTAGCTTTAAAGTCAGGTCTTCAAAAGTCACATGATACATGAGTATATACGATATATGTATTAATTTATGTGTATTAATAATTTGTAAATACAATATAAAGAGGAAACAATCACAATTCTAACAAACTATAGAAAAAAAAAAAAACTCTCAAATATTATTAGATGAAAGTGTGCTGAAAAATTCTTGGCCTGACTCACTTCTCCAAATCAGATCAAATATCACACAAGTTTTTCAAATGACTTCTTGGTTAGGCTAAGAAATTCTCAGCACCCTCTCAGATTTATAAAATTATAATACTCTCATCTACATATTGGAAATAATAATTTATAAAATAAATACAAACATGTAAGTGGAATTAGAGAAAGGATAATCTCTGGATTGAAGTTATAGCCATTTAATACTATCATTGTACTTTGATAATCTTTCTTAATTTCTAGTCATTATCAGAATATGAGAATGGATTATGAAGTTTTATTGATTTATTAGAAAAGCAAATATATAAGAAGCACATCTTTGTGGCATTGGATTTGAATGTTACTTAAATGATAGATCATCGTTTATATATATATAGATATATATATAAAAAGGATATTTGAAAATATTTTGCTTATGAACAAAAGACCTTCAAAAAAAAAAAAAAGAAAAGAAAAGAAAAAAGATCTGAAGTTGATTTCTAAACTGTTATAGACTTTAATTTTAAAAAAAAACTGATAGAGAAGAACATATTTGGTTATTGTATAGAGTTTTGTGCAATACTTATTTATTTAATGATAATTATGCTGGAAATTAACTCATTTTATACATGACAGGTTAATGTTTGATTATATTGTGGCTATCCAATCTTGGTGTTGAAAAATATAAACAAAAAAATAAATAGCAAGGAAATGGGATAATTATGGCAAAATCGCAATCATAATCTGCAAAATAAATCTGAAGACGATTGTAAAAATGGTTGACGATGTAAGTAAAAACAAAGAAGCAAATCGGCAGATGTAAAATGACCAATACTGAAAGAAGAATGTCATAAATTACAAACCTACTTTGTAAACATTTGTACAGATTGAGAACAAAACAAAAAGAAATCTTGAAATGTTTCAAAATAATAAGAGAAACTAGTAAGAAATTACCTCCATTTCCAATTATACTATCCATGATATTATGTGGTCTCTATTGCTGTTATGGCTGCTGTTCTTATAATTACACACACAGATGCAGATAAACAAAAAAAAAAGAAATTGTTTACAGTGTTAATATGCCAAATAAAATGAAAATCATGGAGTGGGTGATTGTGTCAGGAAGTAAACTGAGTTTATCTAAGACATGAAGGTAGCAGTAGGCTATGACCATCCATCAACTTCATACACAGATGAAGAGGGACCATGCAAGCAACATCAAGAATTTCTATGGAAACAATCAGCCTAACTTATGACTCAGGTAACAAGCAATCACCATGAGATGTGGCTTTGCTGTTTGCTCCAATTAGTAAGCTAGGCACGCGCACACACACATATTATATATATATATATATATATATATATATATATATACACACACACACACACAATTGAGTATCTGGGCAGCAATAATTCTTTTATACAAGTTTCATTAAAGATGAATGACAAGGTACTACAATTAAGCATTTTATTTAATTATTTTTGTGTTCATGTAATTGTTTTCTTTTCTGGACATAAAGTGCGTAAAAATTATCCAAATGTTCTATATATCCAAGTGCTTTCAGCTATTCCTTTAGCCATCATAGCAGATGATTTTTATTTTTAATTGCATGTATAGATTTTTTTTATGTATATATCTAGAGTTATAGGTATGTTTTATTTTCCAAACATGTTCAGCACCACTGAATGTTGTTTTTTCTTTTTCTTCTCTTTTTTAATGTCAACTTTGAACACATCCACAATGTGCTGACTAAATAAAATGCTTAATTACAGTACCTTGTCAGTTATCTTTCATGAAACGTGTGTGTGTATATATATATATATATATATATATGCAAATATATATATATGTGCAAATATATATATAGTTGTAAGTAAGTGTATAAGATGGCAGATCAAGTTGTCAGTTCCAGTTTAGCTTTAACACAAAAGGCTAACTGAGAGAAAGTGAGTAAAGAATGAGATCTAAAACAAGTTAACATGAGTTCATAAACCAACACAGGAAGTGAAGTTAATATCATTGTCTTCAGGCATTTATCAGATAGTTTGTAAGAAATGCAGAAAAATATCAATTTCAACTGATATCTTAATATCAAAGTTAAGCAACAATATGGTGAGTGAATTTTTGTAATCTCTCTACTTTTAAATGTCAAATAATGTAAAGGGAAGTGTTTATATTACAAAGTCATGTAAGTATACAACAGAAGCAGATGCTTAATTAAATGTAACTAAATGCAAAAAAAAAAGTAGAATAATGAGTATCAATCACATATCTACATGTTGGCCATGTGAATTGAACTAATCTTGAGTGTGCAACAAAGAAACACTCAATAATTGCTGGTTTACACTTAATAAAATAAACAAAAACATGCACACTGTGCAAATACTGATTTTAAACAGAATGAATAGTAGATCATTTGATCAAGATCAATAATATATGAACCTAAACACATTCACACTTGTGTGTGTGTGTGTGTGTGTGTGTGTGTGTGTGTGTGTGTGTGTGTGTGTGTGTGTGTGTATATATATTGAAAATCACACAAATATATAGATGTGCACACAAAAATAGAATTTAAACATATATACATATGGATGTTGATAGATACGTTCACATATATAAAGAAAACATGTGGTAATCACTTGCTGAGTGATTGGAAAATGCAACTTTTTGGGAGTTATATTATTATTATAAGGCATTTGTTATTAAGCAATAATTAAGAAGCAGATCTCACAAGCAGATTCTCATTACTGTAGCCAATTTTGTTAAAATTTTATATGCAAAATACATATGCACACAGAGGGTTCAGAAAAATTCTTGACTTAATCCACTTGTGGGTGTGTGCAGTATTAGTAAAAAATGCACTCACTTAAATCTTCAAAAAAATTCAACCTTAGCATTGCAACTGCATGCTCTACAAGTTTGTATCCATTATCAATAACACATTTAAAAAAAAAAAAGCATATTTCAATTTGTATTATATTTTTTGTCTCAGATGTCACCTGAATTTTACCAAAAACAAAATAATTTTCATGCCTGATGATGACTGGATGTACCATTGAAAGTACTTGTGCATTTAAGGAAGACCTAATACAGTTTATAATTTTAAAAAACAAGGACCATAACATTCACCAACTGATTAGTAGGTTAATGCATCTTTAAAATTTAGTTAGCAAAGGGATTTCGCAATTTCATATCATTAACTTTACTAATTTACTTTTTGTGTGAATGATTCATTGTAATATATATATAATATATATATATATATATTGTGTGTGTATATGCATCATTTTTTAAGCAACATATGTGAAATCAAGTGTAACAGATCAGTAATCATTTATAACAGAAAAAAAAAGGTACATATATTATTAATTTTCATATTCTTCATATTTTTTCTGGCATTTTTATCACATTTTAGATAATAATATTTTTGAGGAATTTGGGACAAAATAGGTTTCAATAAGAATAAAAGTCACATCCTATACATCAAGTTTCCTCATTAACTGACAACACCTTAACATTAGGTTAATAAAATTTGCAGTAATAGGTGCATTAATGAAAAATAATTCATTTTAAAATTGCAAAACAAATTATGAGTATGAATTGACATTTTAAAAATTACTTTTATCTTGCTTAAATTACTTTCAGCTAATTTGTTGCATTTTAGTTTAATTTAATTTTTCATGTTAATTATAGAAAGGAAATACTCAAATTAAGTCTTACCTTGTGTCTGTCAGTTTGAATGGAATTAAATTCATTTTCCATTATTTGGAGATCAACAAATCTTACAAGTTTAGCTGTCATAGGAATTGGAAAAACAGTACAATCATTGAGTTCCTTCATTTTTATAAAAGACTAATCCCAGATTAAAATAACAGATTTCTATAAGTTAAACATGAAAAGCAACAATTATAGAATAAAAGCATAAGGAATGTTAAGGGATTAAATTAGTATTTTATCAATAAAATAATTGAACAACAAGCTATGATTAAAATTGTTCATTTTCTTTTTTTTTTGTTTCTACACTTAAAATATATTAATAAATCCTATATATTAGAAATTAGAATATATAATTTAAAATATTTAAAGTTTAGCAATTAATTTTGAATAAAAATAAGATTGAGATTCCTTTAAATTCAGACAAAAAAAAATAAATTTAAAAGTGAATAAATTAAAAGTATGGAAAACATTGGCCAAAAATTAATATTAATCTTTGTTTTTTTTATCAAAAATATCTTAAGTGTCAAAAGTATTTCTCTAAATTACTCCCTAAATTCTTACAAATTTAATCTTACAAAATTTTTTGCAGAAAGTGGGGATTCTTTTGTCTAAATGGTTCCTAGTATGAAAATAAGAAATTAACATATCAAGGCAGTGTTTTCATAAATGGTTGTAGAATCTGTCTGAGTTTTCAGGAGTGATCACGAGAGACATCCGATAGGTAAATAGGTTAGTACATTCTTACAGGTTCGGTGAGTAAAAAAAATATTATCAGTGAAAAATAAAGATTTGTCTTGAGTAAACAACAAAGTAAAATCTAGCTAAGGAATGTATGACCTTTACTCTCAAATTTCTGACTGTTTCTGACAAGGTTGATCCTTAACAGGCTTATGTTCAGTGGAGCATATTTCAACAAGGGGTAATGGACTGGTAAGAAACATCTGATTGTCTCTGTAGGAGACATTTTTTTTTATTCTATGAGTAAAACTAATTTGTAATTAAATGACAATAAGGCTCTCACTTTACAAACAATAAAAGCTAGTTTCAATAAATTTTGTTTGACTAAACCTATTCAATAAGTTAGTAATAAAAACATGGATATTTTTAATCTCTAGATCACATTCATAAGCTTAGTCACTGGAGGAACTATAAAGGATATATTTATTTGTTTTATCATAAAATTTATCTTAGCTGACAATATAAAGTTTTAAATATATTTTTAGCTTGTTCATTACACCAATGGTCTGCTACTATATAATGATAAATGAATGTTATTTCTAATACAACTAAGAGTGATTTGGGAATCAAAGATTTTTCTTTCTTTTCTCTTAACCACACATCAAAAGGTTTATGACAATAAACCTAGGCTTTAAACTTAGATTATTATACAAAAGTAACATGTCACACATAATATACATTATACAAATGTCTCATTTACTACAACAAAGAGAAGTTGGCAGAATAGATATTTTTTAATCATTTCACCCCATGTAAGGTGATAATGCCACTACAATGCAAAGGTTTACTGGGCGTGAAGGAGAAAACTTTACTGAAGAGGGAGGGCAATAAAAGTCAGGATTCAGGAAGATGGTAATTGGCATTGTATTTAAATTTTTGAAGATTGTAGGTGACAGGGAAGTAAGAAATCGGAAGAGAGTTCCACAGGAGAGAAGTGCAAGAAAAGAAACTATTAGAATATAACATATGGTTGCATCTAGCTAGTTTAACACTAAAACAGTGAAACCTAGTTGCCAATCTAATAGCATGCTTAAATGCATGCAGTCAAGACACCAAGGAAGAAAGCTCATCAGAACAGTTGCCATGAAAATATTTGTAGAAAAGACATAAGGAAGCCACATCATGTCAGTGAGAAAGTAACTAAAGTCAAGATTCCAGGTTAGAATCAATTACATTTTAAATGCTTCTTTGAATTTTGTCAAGAACCTCAAGATATATAGCAGGAGCACTAGACCAAATAGAGCAGTGATATTCAATGTGTGGACAAATGATAGGTTTATAAATGTGCAAGATGGATTCTGATGAGAAAAATTATCTGGCACAACACAGTGAACCAAGTTACTTACCAGTACACCTAGCAATTAAGTCAATATAATCACTCCACTCATTGCATGTCAGTAGAAAATGTGAACCTAAAAAGGTGCAAAGAGTTGCTCTCCTGGAGGTAGGTATCAGTCATGCTGATGGTAGGCAGAAAAGCTTCTCTATGGTGATTAAATGAAAACAGTTTTGTTTTGGATGCATTAAAATTCACAAGTCATTCCTTGGCTCAGTTAACCACTGATTGGCAGTCCTTTTTTTTTTTTGTCAGACTTACTACTAAGACAGGAATAAATAATTGTATTGTTAGCAATTGGGAACTCATGACATCAAGAAAATCATTGATGTGGATAAGAAACAACACAGATCCAAGGATAGAGTCCTGAGAGACCCTTATATTAATGTGAAATGAACTAGAAGTGTGTCCATTCAACACAGCCTTCATTACACAATTTAATAGGAACACTTGGATTAAGCCTAATATTCATCAAGAGACACTGGAACTTTTGGAGAAGGCCAAACCCTGTCGAATGCCTTTGAGATATCTAAAGCCACAGCTTGAGCTTTGCTGTTCTTATCTAAAACCTCACAAACACATATAGTTATAGCCATTCATACATTAGTGGTAGACATGGAGAAACAGAAGCCACATTGTTTATCTGAAAGAAGGCCATGTGAAGTGAAATACTTAATCAATTCAGCATTGATTAGAACCTCTAGTACTTTTCCAAAAAGAGGTAAAAGACTAATAGGGTGATAATTCAAGGGGGTCAGAAGAGATCACCAAAGTTCTTAAGGTCAGGAACTACAGAAGAGGATTTCTAACAAGTTGGAAAGCAAAAAGCAAAAAAACATTTGTTGTAGAATTTGGAGAGAACAGCAGCCAGTTCAGGAGCACATTTTTTTAGGGCAATATAGGGATACCATCGAATCTGGAAACCTTGTGGTGATTATATAACACCTTTTGGCTGCTGCCTACATCCAGTGGTGCAACCATGTTTAGTGGTCTGATCCTCAGGTTCTTAGGACAACATTTTAACCACAGGGCTAATTCTACACTGGCCAATGCTGACACTGGTTCAAACTGGTTGTTGGTTGCTGGCCGCTTCAATCCACACCAATTCTACTCACATTGTGTTCTTGATCTCAGAGCAGTGGAAGATTGAATGGTCACCATAATGGTAGCGCTGGATCAAGCCATGGTGTGCTACATTAAGGAAGAAAAATATCTTCACGATGAAAAAATAAAACGAAAGATTCATGTGGTTAATCTTTGGTTGGTTTATATAGCTCTTGGTACATCAAAAATTAACCCTTCCTGCATCAATCTCTATAGTGAAACTGGGCCTTGTTTAAACTTCTGGAATAGCTGGGTTCAAAGTATTAGAATCAGGATATCTGGTGGCAGCTGATGTGGATTTTAGAAGCACTTGATGTGGGTTCTCAGCCCAAAGTCTCTGAGCTCTCCAAGTCATCTGCTTATATGCACTTCGGCCCAAAACTGGCGTGGGGCCAAAGAGTTCTGGGGATTTGGTGATTCCCCAATTTTCATTAATTCCAATAAATGTTTTCTTTATTCCCTATTTCTGCTTTCTTAATCAATTTTCCAAATCTGGAGAATTATCCACCTTCCTCACTTAATTCCAACCTGCTTCACTTTATATTTCACATCCCTACTCTACACAAGCAGGGCTAAATTCTTCCCCTTTCAGCTTACTATTCTAACTCTGCCCACTTCTTTATGACAAATCTAATTTTTAAAGTGTGTAGGAAAAAGGAGTTGTTTATTCTCCTCATAAATTTCAATTCTCTGACTTGTCCAGCAAAAACACAAACCAGATCACCTCATTTTAACCTTCTGAGGGAAAGATAAAAATTATTTCCCAATTTGTTTTTGGCAATGACAATATATTTATTTACTTAAATTCTCAACAAAGACACACACTGTTTCCATCCTTGGACCAGTCAATGTCTTAGTGAAAACGTAAACCAGATCACCTGCCTGTTATGATGGATCAATTTTCATAATCCTAACCCTTGCAGCAGGTTCATTCTGTTCTCATTTCTCAATTTGTTCTCGCTAACGAAAATATAATTCTTGTCTGCTTCTCTTTTTGCCAATGATATGTGTTTTTTTTAATTTTCCAAAAAGGAGATAAAACCATTTCCCAATTTGCTTTACTCACATGCCAGATTTTCAATAGATAAAAAAGTAAACACTTGGTGCATCATTCTAGTTCATAGGGGTGACGCAACCTAGATGGCCTTTTCTTCACTTCCACATTACCAGGAAAAATATCTTTCATTCTCTCTATCTATTTTCCAATTTAAATTTCATTTTGGGTCTAAGTATTTTTCTGCTTAGAATTAATGTTTAACCACCTCACAGCCTCAGTGTCATATCACTCCCTTCCATTTTTGTCATTTATTTGTATATGACATCCAACTCCACCTACCCTAAGGTGAGAAAAGAAGGAAAAAAAAATCAACAATGTTTTTCATGCATAATGTTTCTACTAAACATGCAGTAGAATTAAAAAGTCCTTCTTTTTCTGGTTCATGATCATGCATTTTCATATTGGAGGCTCACACTACCCCTTACAATTTAATCATTTAACCTGAGGCTTGCAACTTCCCTTACTTTTGTTCAATTTGTTACATTTTTATCTCTTTTATGGTTTGTCTTTCTTAGTAAATTTTATTATTTCCATAATAGTGGGTTTTGTTTTTCCTTCAACAATTGTCTCCAATTTCGATCTGCTTTGGTAAGGAACACTAAACAGTGTCCCTCTCTCATTCTCATGCACCCTTCCCAGACTCCATCAGATATACTAATATCTTGTGGTTATTACTGTATTTGTCAATACTACTACTTGACAGTTCTCTTTAATTCCATCATAATCTCCCTTAAACAATTCAAGCACACACAACCCATGATTCCTAGTCACATAAGTGGGACTTAATGAGGTACACATTCTAAATGAATC